GAAGGGATTCATCCGTCCCTCCACTTCCCCAGCAGGTGCAGGGATCTTCTTTGTAGAAAAGAAAGACAAGACTTTGAGGCCATGTATTGACTATCGGGAGCTGAATAGGGTCACAATCAAAAATCGTTACCCATTACCACTGGTACCAGAATTATTCCAGAGCTTAAAAGCTGCAGTAGTATTTACCAAGCTGGACTTAAGGGGAGCCTACAACTTGGTTCGCATAAGGGAGGGGGATGAGTGGAAAACGGCCTTCCGCACCCGTTTCGGCCATTTCGAATACCTGGTCATGCCTTTCGGGTTGTGCAATGCGCCGGCCACCTTCCAGCACTTTGTAAACGACATCTTTAGGGACTTCCTGGACATCTTTGTCATCGTCTACTTAGACGACATTTTGATTTTCTCATCCTCCCTGGGGGAGCACAGGGTACATGTAACAAAGGTGTTGGGGCGGTTGCGGCAGCACGGGTTGTACGCTAAAGCAGAGAAATGTTGCTTTGAACAGGCTAGCGTTACATTTCTGGGTCTGATTATCTCCACCACGGGGGTCGCAATGGACCCTCAGAAGGTCTCTGCGATCCTAGATTGGCCTGAACCCACGGACAGGAAAAGCGTCCAACGTTTTTATCGGGTTCGCAAACTTCTACCGGAAGTTCATCAAGAACTTCTCGGATCTGGTCTCCCCCATCACTCAGTTAACCAAGCTTGGGACACGATTCAGATGGACGCCAGAGGCACAGGAAGCTTTTGAAGCACTAAAGAAGTTATTTACCTCGGCACCCATTCTGGGTCATCCCGACGCCTCCCTGCCCTACATCTTAGAAGTAGATGCGTCAGAAAACCGGTTGGCTCCATCCTTTCCCAGCGGAAGGGCGCCAAGGAATTACTTCACCCAGTAGCATTCTTCTCACGGAAACTTACCCCTGCGGAGAAGAACTACGACATTGGGGATCGAGAACTACTGGCTATCAAGACCGCATTAGAAGAATGGAGGTACCTGCTGGAAGGTGCCTCACATCCCATCCTGATATTCACGGACCACAAGAACCTGGAATATCTGAGGACGGCCAAACGTCTGCGCCCACGACAAGCAAGATGGGCATTGTTTTTCTCGAGGTTCCAGTTCCACATCACATACAGGCCGGGATCAAAAAACACGAAGCCAGACGCGTTGTCACGTATGTACGAGGACGCCAAGGAGATCCCAGTGCCTGACACTATTCTGCCTGCGGGAGAACTTCTTGGCCCTCCAGACGAACCTTCGCTCCGAGATCCTGAGAGCATCCACAGCGATGTCTACCTCCGATGGGGCACCCCTCCAGAACAAGGGGGGACTCCTATGGAGAGGAGGACCGGATTGTGGTGCCGGAGGATGCCCGAACCTTAGTCTTGGGACATTGCCATGACCACCCGATGGCAGGACATTTTGGCCCGGTCAAGACCCTGGAACTTCTCCGACGTTCCATCTGGTGGCCGGACATGGCCAAGGATTGTAAAAGTTACGTGGGCTCCTGTGCCAACTGCCAGCGGAACAAGCCTTCAAGAAATAAGGCGTGGGGCCTGCTACGTCCATTACCCATCCCTGAACGGCCCTGGCAGAAAATCTCTATGGACTTCATAGTCGAGCTTCCACCTTCACTGGACCACACAGCAATTCTCGTGGTCGTGGACCGCTTATCCAAGATGGCCCATTTCATTCCTTTACGGAAGACTCCATCAGCAGCCGAGACGGCGCAAGTTTTTATTCGAGAGGTCGTTAGACTGCATGGGGTTCCCGAAGACATCGTCTCGGACCGAGGGGTGCAGTTTACCTCGAGATTTTGGAGGGCATTGTGCAAAGCCCTGGATATCAAAAGCTATCCCTTTCCTCGGCATTTCACCCTCAGACCAATAGTCAGACCGAAAGGACCAATCAGACCCTAGAGCAATACCTGCGATGCTACACTTCATTCTCTCAGGACGACTGGGTGCCACTTCTCCCTTTGGCGGAATTTGCGTACAACAACGCTTGCCATTCAGCAACAGGGCAGTCCCCGTTCTTCTCCAACTATGGGTTTCACCCTGTCTTCCTCCCGGATTTAGTCCCGGAATGCCCAATTCCAGCGACACAGGATGCACTAACCTTTTTCACTTCAAACAATAAAAAACTACAGGAAGCCATCCGTCAAGCCCAAGAAGACTACAAGAGGGCTTTTAATAGGAAGCGAAGAGGAGATCTGGTGTTGCGGCCCGGAGAGAAGGTTTGGCTGGCTACATCGAACTTGAGGATGCTCTGCCCGTCAAAAAAGTTGGGACCTAAATTTATAGGCCCTTTTTGCATCAAACGGATGGTCAATGAAGTGGCCTATGAACTTGTTCTCCCTGAGACACTCAAGATCCACCCTGTCTTCCACGTGTCCCTGTTGAAGCCGGTAGTCCCTGATGCCTTCCCGGAACGGGAATCCAGGCCCCCGGAGGCCGTAACAGTTGAAGAGGAAGAAGAATTCGAGGTGGAGGCAATCCTGAAGTGCCGACGAAGGGGGGGCCAGACCCAATTTCTCATCAAGTGGAAGGGCTACGGCCCTGAGGACAATTCGTGGGAACCAGCCCATAATGTCCATGCACCTAGACTTGTCCGGAGGTTTCTTGTGTGATCACCCGTGGTGGAGAGATCGGGTGGGCATCCAGAGGTTGCCCGTGGGGGGGGGGGCAATGTCAGGGATCCCCTCGATCCCTGCCGCGATGGTCCCGGCGCAGGCGCACTGCTCCACCCTGTACACGGGCACTAGGTCCGGGCCGGCCGTGGCGTTCGAGTTCGCGCATGCGCAGTAGAAGCCACGGCCGCCCGCTGGGCACCAATGGCAGCGCAGGGCGGGATATTTAAATGTCCCTGAGCTGTCATTTCGTTGCCTTCTGGTCTTACCTGCTTCCTGTGATTCTGAACCTGTGCCTTGTAAGTTTATTGACCCGGATTGTTCTTGACCTGCTGATTTCTCCTGCCCAGACCCTTGCTTTGCCTGACCTCTCTCCCTGGATGCCCCTCATTAGATCTGACCTACTGTTGCTGACCTGGCGTGTGACCCGACGATTCTCTGCCTGCTCCCTTGTACCTTACCGTCCTCTACGTTACCAACTCGGCCTGTCTGACTTCGCACTTGCTCAGTCATCCATCCATCCATCCATCCCATCGGGGTCACCCGACCTCCTCACATCTGGCTCTCCCTGGTTGGAGCCCCTGGCGAACACCCCTACCACTGACAGGTGTGCTCAGTAGTGGCGACCTGGTCTCGGGGTACTACAAGTCCATCCCCACCCATCAGGGGCCTTGGTGAACAAGTACCCTGGGGCTTAGACTCCGCGCTCTGGGCACGCCTGACCAGTGGAGTGCTAGTGGTGCTGCTCGGCGGTCCCTCAAGGGTTGTGAGAAGAAAAAGGAACACTTCAAGAGCTCACTGAGGAATTTAAAAGGAGTCAGAAAACACACAGTAAAAAACAATGTCATAAAAAAATAGATTACAGGGCCAGTAACAGATATGTATGGATTATTTTTTAAAGAATAAAGATATCTTTCAGTGTCACTTTAATCTTATTGCTCCTCTATTCACCCTCCTTTAATTTATATTTGTAATAGTAAACCATATTTATTTACCTTATCATTTTTGAATAGGTATATTTCATTAGGCTTTCCACAATTTTAATGAGTAGCCAAAATCATTTAGTCTCATTTGACTTCATAGGTCTCTTTGACTGATGCACACTGAAGCAATAACTGGAACTGGTGTCCACATGGTATGAAAATATATCAGCTGAGCACAGGCAATTACAGCTTTACAATTCCCATAAACTTTTGATGTTAGAGGTGGATGCCTAACTGCCTCATTGATGTATTTCTACGGTAACTAAAACATATGTCTGCACTAGTCAACTAAGGTGAAAGTCTTAATTATCATAATGCAGTGTTTAACTAAAAGTGCACAGATCATGCTAATTTATATGCTGACTGTGAACATTTGTTCATAATTAGCTGTAATTATACAAACAATTCTGTTCTTCATTCAACTTGGTTTCTGGTTGTCAATTACTACAAATGTATTATACCATTATTTTAATCTACATATAAGCATATATGACTTTCATATGACTGATATAACAGTTGTGATATGAGGGGATTAGATTCAATGTGGTAAATGTGTTTTATGTCAGTCCAAAGTTGGGGTTTAAGGGCCTGGTAGCCTGCTTTTATTAAAAAGGAAAGCAAAGTTTTTACACAACAGTGGTCCATGCAGGGGAAATCAGCTTCTCACAGCAAAATATCAACCAAAAATGCTAGCCCACCTGGCTATGCTTCAGCAGCACCACTGCTATTAGTAATGATCTCTTAGACCACCTGCTCTACAGGCTCACTCAGGTTCGGTTGCAGCACTTCAATACACAGGCCCATTCCTGAACTCTAAGTAGCATTCTCCAGCCCCCTCAAGCTTGTTCACTCTTACAGAGACTTCTGGACTCCCTCCAGCCCCCTGGACTTACTAGCCACCTCAGCTTCCTCAGTATCCTTAACTTTTGTAGCTGTCCCTATTTTTCCAGTCCTTAGGCCAGGAATCCCCCTACAAGGGATGCAGTCTCCAGCAAGGACACCCAACCCACCTGAAAGTCTCTGTCTGCAAATGGCAGCCACTGCCCTGAGATATTCTCAGACTTGGTTTATAATGATCCTGCAAACCTGTGAACTCACAAAGGTTGCAGGTATCTAGAAAAATCCAGACATAGGATTGAAGGTTCTATTTCACCCAAGACACTTTGAAACCTTCAAACTCCAGGCACTGATCCAGAACTACCAAACACAGAGAAAACTTATAACACAGTTTTCTCTGCTCACAATAATCAGTAGTCTGGAACTCTGCATTGAGCCTTAATGTGAATCCTGTGTCATTTCTACATTCATTTCCCAAACTCACATAGTGGTAGGGCCTAACACACTCCTCATCAGGGGCGGACTGACCATTTGAAAACTCGGGCACTGCCCAAGGGCCCGGGTTCAGTAGGGGGCCCCATGAGATGCCCCTGCTACCTTTTTCATAGGCTTTTTTGAGTTTGGGCAAGGACACAGGGGCCCCATGCTCCCCTATTGCCCGGGGGCCCCATGAGTTGTCAGTCCGCCCTTGGACACAACCCTGTTCTAATTCCACAGAAAAACCTATGATAAAACACAGTGAGAAATCATAAAAAGACACAACTCTGCCCCAATACTGTAAAAAGGTCTACAATAAGAGTCCCCACATCACAAATGCAGGATGTGCTTTAGAGAAAGCAATCAATAAGATGATATTTGGAGTTAACTTATCTTGTAACACCGTGCTGCAGACGGAAAATATTTTAAGTGGAAAATATTTTCTCTCTGGCAGTGGTCCAGCCTGTGTTGCAATAATGTGTAGTATTAATAAAAACCTTGTCAGTTTTAATAATTCTTTATATATTGAACAAATTGATAGCTGCTAGTACTGTAATAAGTAATGAGATTCCTTTACAGTTATGAGCTCTTCACTTTAATATCAGTGAGCCTGCCAAATACGAACAGTAATATGAGTGGCCATACGGTGTGATGAGCTCCAGATTCACACCATAAACATATCTTTTATTTCTTACTTCTTTAATTTAGTTAAAATAAAAAAACTGAAGAGAAAATATATTCTTACATGATCAGTGTACTGCAAATGTGCTTTATAAAGTTTCTGGTCAAAAAAACAAACATTAGTATTAGAGATGAGCGAATCGAACTTGGCGAAGTGGAATTCGTTTCGAATATTAGGAAAAATTCGATTCGCACCGAATCCGAATTTTAGCAAACTTCGGATGCACGAATCGAATTTTCCCCGATCAGCCGGCAAAAAGTGTCACTGCAGAGAGCTCCGCTATTTCTGACAGTTCTCTGACAGTTCCTTCACATTTACAGCGGTTGAAACATTGTATCTATTTGTTTCCATTTAGGATACAGATGTTTTTATTCGGAAACAAATAGATACAATGTTTCAACCGCTGTAAATGTGAAGGAACTGTCAGAGAACTGTCAGAAATAGCGGAGCTCTCTGCAGATACACTTTTTGCTGTACTGGAATTCTTCTTCTTTTCATTCTTCTTCTTCTTTTCATTCTTCTTCTTCTTTTCATTCTTCTTCTTTTCATTCTTCTTCTTCTTTTCATTCTTCTTCTTTTCATTCTTCTTCTTCTTTTCTTCTTCTTCTTTTCATTCTTCTTCGTCTTTTCATTCTTCTTCTTTTCATTCTTCTTCTTCTTCTTTTCATTGTTCTTTTCATTCTTCTTCTTCTTCTTTTCATTCTTCTTCTTCTTCTTTTCATTCTTCTCATTCTTCTTTTCACTCTTCTTTTCATTCTTCTTCTCATTCTTCTTTTCATTCTTCTTCTTCTTCTTTTTTCATTCTTTTCTTCTTCTTTTCATTCTTCTTCTTCTTCTTTTCATTCTTCTTTTCTTCTTTTTCATTCTTCTTTTCATTCTTCTTTTTCTTCTTTTCATTCTTCTTCTTCTTTTCATTCTTCTTTTCATTCTTCTTCTTCTTCTTTTCATTCTTCTTTTCATTCTTCTTCATTCTTCTTTTCATTCTTCTTCTTTTCTTCTTCTTTTCATTCTTCTTCTTCTTCTTTTCATTCTTCTTTTCATTCTTCTTCTTCTTTTCATTCTTCTTTTCATTCTTATTCTTCTTCTTTTCATTCTTCTTCTTTTCATTCTTCTTCTTTTCATTCTTCTTTTCATTCTTCTTCTTCTTCTTCTTCTTTTCATTCTTCTTCTTCTTCTCTTCTTCTTCTTTTCTTCTTCTTCTTCTTCTTTTCATTCTTCTTCTTTTCTTTTTTCATTCTTCTTCTTCTTCTTTTTTCATTCTTCTTTTCATTCTTTTCTTCTTCTTTTCTTTTCTTCTTTTTCTTCTTTTCATTCTTCTTTCTTTTCTTTTCTTCTTCTTCTTTTCATTCTTCTTTTCATTCTTCTCATTCTTCTTTTCATTCTTCTTCTTTTCATTCTTCTTCTTTTCATTCTTCTTTTCATTCTTCTTTTCATTCTTCTTCTTCTTCTTTTCATTCTTCTCATTCTTCTTTTCATTCTTCTTTTCATTCTTCTTCTTTTCATTCTTCTTCTTCTTCTTTTCATTCTTCTTCTTCTTCTTTTCATTCTTCTTTTCATTCTTCTACTTCTTCTTTTCATTCTTCTTCTTCTTCTTTTCATTTTCTTTTCTTCTTCTTCTTTTCATTCTTCTTTTCATAATTCTTCTTCTTCTTCTTTTCATTCTTCTTCTTCTTCTTTTCATTCTTCTTTTCATTCTTCTTCTTCTTTTCATTCTTCTTCTTCTTCTTTTCATTCTTTCTTCTTCTTCTCATTCTTCTTCTTCTTCTTCTTTTCATTCTTCTTCTTCTTTTCATTCTTCTTCTTCTTCTTTTCATTCTTCTTTTCATTCTTCTTCTTCTTCTTTTCATTCTTCTTTTCATTCTTCTTCTTCTTCTTCTTCGTCGTGCCCCGTGACTGCCCAAATGAGTGAAGTGTGCGGTGATTCTAAGATCGACGGCACTCATCTGCATGTCATACTGACTGACAGTATTATTTCTCTTCCCCAGCAGACTCCAAGGGCATTTAAATTAAAGGTACAGTGTTCTGCACTAATATAAAGGCTCTCTGAAGCCTAGAAACCCTTTTAATAAGTTAAATTTGCAGCGAATAAATTCGCATCGAATCAAATTTCTCCCGCAAATTTGGCGAATCAGCCGAATCAAATTTTTGAATAATTCGCTCATCTCTAATTAGTATGTATCCTGTATCCTTTATTCTGCTGGCAGCATGGCCCAAGATGACAAATGCCGGGCATAAGGGCTATCTGATTGAGAAAAAAAAAAAATCTGACACTTATCCGGCATGTGCCAAGTTCACTTGTTTCTAGGACTGTTGTCTGATTGAACACTCAAGCTCTCTGTAGGGCTCCCAGTGCTTGGCCACATAACATACTGTAGCTTTGGGCCTTTAGAAGCAGATAATTCTCCAGCCAATCAGAGATATTTGTCTGATATATTACACTTTATATACTGGCAATCTACATAGCTAAAGGTTAACTTATTTAAAAAAAAATATCAGACCTAAAGTTAGATTTGATGAGCTGAATAAAGATGTGTTTATTAAGGCAAAAGACAGCTGCAAAATTCAGCAACCATTGCCAACCATTCACCAATGAAAAAAAGAAAACTAAGTTTCAGAACGTGGTATTTAAAAGTGTCTTAGGTGTAAATCCACAAATAAAGAATTTAATACCGGTCTTCAAATGCTATGCTGCTTGTTAATTGGCCAAATACATCCAGGCAAAAGTGCCACTTGGCCTAACAACCACTTTGCACCATGCTTTCTCACAGCATGGAAGGTTGTTTTGGCAGGTTACTTCTTCGTGGTACCTCATTTTAGCTGTATGTATATGGATAATCAATTTAAAAAATTGGAGTTGGAATTAAGTACAAATTCTTCCTGTGTGGAATTCTTGAATGCTTAGGGGGAGAGAACATGGCTATTTGAATGAAGTTGTAACATGTCTGGGCAAGAAATAGACTTTCTTTATCAAATAAGTTCTGTATATATGATCTGCAGAACAATTACATGAAAATACACTTTTATGGGTATAACCTGCATTTAAACGTATGCACATCATATATTCTGTTTTACTTCATGCACAGAAATACCTCAGAATACCCTGAGATCACAAAGGTACACATATGATGGAAGGCAACTTCGAGATTTTAAAGCAGGATATAAAGTTTTAAAGTGTCAGATAGATTTTGTATTGTACCAGAATCTTGACATTACTGTTGTACTTACTAGTATGATTTCCATGTACAGGGGCTCCAATGAAAGAATGAGAGATTAGGTATTGTGATTACACTAAGGACAAAGGGCATGCTTTAGAGGTCAAATGCTGGATGTAGAGTTGAGAAATAAGAACTCATTTTAGGTCTTTGGCGAAGTATTAGGCCTCATGTACACATGAACTCTCCTAGACCTTTAACTCTCCTGGCAGCAGAAACATGTGTAAACGTGGTACCGCGTTTAGTAGGGTTTACTCACGTTTACCCTCATTTAGCTGTGTTCAGCACTTGGACGTTTATTCATTTGATTGGCCAGAGTATTTTCCATTGACATGAATAAACACATAAGCGTTAAACGCAGCTAGCATTTAGAGGTGTCTACAGGTGTTTCCTCCACGTTTAGCGTTTTTTTGGCCAAAACGTTCCTCTCCTGAATGCTATTCTTCTGCATTCAGGAGAGGAAGGTTCAACTACCCTACACTCTGCTGCTCCTAAACTCTGGTAAAAGCCTATGTGTACATGGACACATAGGCTTTTATTGAGCTGAGTTCAGGGGCTTGGCCAAAAAAAAACACCAAAAGCTCCTCCTAAACTCATGTTAAGGAGCAGCAGTGAGGCCTTAAAGGGCAGAATAAAGGTTAAACTTTGGTTAGGGGTTAAGAGTTTAGGGCTAACCTTAACAATTAAGTGTTAAGGGCGTACCCTCAGGTTAGGTAAATTGTTAAGATAAGAAGGACTTAAAGTGGAGCTCCCCCCCCTCCACTGCCACATATGGCACTTTTTGGAGGAGAGGGGGGAGTGGGTATCTGGTTTTGATAGGTACCCACTTCCACTTCCAGCTCAGTTCAGCACAGAGAACTGAGCCAGAAATGCGGCCTCCCTCCTTCCCCCCCCCCCCCCGCAGTCTTCTGAGACACTTCACAGGTCTTAGAAGACTATAAACCAATTACAAGGTTCAGAGTGACTCGCGCATGCCCAGTGGGCAACCGGCTTGGAAGCCGCAAGGCTTCACTTCCAGTTTCCCTTACTTGCAGTGCTGGCGCTGGGAACCTGGAGGATAGTGAAGAACTAGCCAGGTGGTGACGGTGCTGGACCCCTGGACAGGTAAGTGTCCTTATATTAAAAGTCAGTGGTTGACTTTTAATTTTTTGGAGGGAGTCTAGAACTCCTCTTTAAGAGGTTCTAAAGGCAGAAGGTTTTTAACCTTAATGCATTCTTTGCATTACGGTAAAAAACCTTCCATGTGCAGATAGAAACATGTATTGCTCTGTTAACCTAACTAAAAACTAAAAATCCATAA